GTGCAAGGCCTGTGCAGGCGCAGTACCAAGGGGAGCAGACTCACAAGCACCTAGTGCTGCAGGGGCTATACCAGGATCCGGCGGCACACACAAGTAGCAGTCACCCTCAGCACTAACAGACAATGCATACATAGCAGCTAGAATAGCCTCATAGTCAGGATCAAAGATTGGTACATCACGCCCAAGCAAGTCTGCCCAGTTGGGGAACTTAGTAGCATCAGGAAACTTGGCGCGCCAGGCGTCGCTAAGTCGAGCGAAGCAGCGCTGCTCAATGTGAAACCCTGTGCACTGGCGGTTAGCGTGGGGACCTGTGCGGATGATATAGGGGCAGCGACCAGGACCCCCAGAAGCCCCACGCCCGGCATACCAGTCAAGAAGCTGCTGGGAAGTGGGGGCCTGACGCGGACGCTGCTGCTGCTGCGGCTGCTGCTGCTGGCCCTGACCACCACTGGCACCACCGCTCCCTCCTCTCCCACCGCCGCTGCTGCCCCCTCCACCGCCCCCAGTGCCTCCACCGCCCCCACCACCACCTCCACCCCCTCCACCCCCGCGACCACCCCCACCACCTCCACCGCCCCCGCCGCCTGCACCACTGCCGCCTCCACCGCCGCCCCCACCGCCCCTGCCACCCCTGCCGCTGCGACGCTTCCCACTTGGAGCGGAAGCAGCCCCGACCTCCTCAGCACCAAGGTAGTCGTGAGCAGCAGCTGCGGAGGCGTAGGAGGGGGTGAGAGGGGAGGGGGAGCACCCCTCAAAGAGGGGAGAGCGCGGAGTGCCACGAGCAGCACCTACAGCGAGGATGTTCTTCTCTGCTGCTAGGAGGTGCTTCTGGAAGTCGTCGACAGTGAGAGTGGGGGGGTCTAGCGCTAGGAAGTGGTCCCTGACCGAGCTAAGAGTGTCAGGGAGGCGGGTGACGAGGAAATAGAGAGTGAAGTACATTGGGGGGGGGGGGGGGGGGGTTTGCGGCGCAAAACTCAGCTGAAAGGGCGGCACGAAAGCGAGTGTCAGTAGCGCGCGGGTGGGAAATGAGGTCCTCAGCAGTGGTGAACGAAGAAAGGTTGGGGAACAGGTAGGGTAGCATGAGTCGACCTATGGCTGCAGTGGCCGGGGAGGAGTAGCGTGCATCTACAGCGTCGTACAGTGTCTTAGCAGTTTTGTGCTGGCTGAAATGCACGCGCTCAGTGATCGGCAGATGGTTCCTAATCGCTAGGCGTGCAGCAGCATCGCGAGTCTGCCATTGCGAGTGTTCGAGAGCAGGAGCATCAGCAGCAAGAGCAACGGCAGTGCCAGACACGTAATCGAACAGTGAAACGCCCTCTTTGGCATCAGTCAGAAGGAACAGTTGCAGGTCATCTAGCCACACAGTGAACTCTATGGGGCGACCGTCAGGTTCGAACGCGAGAACATTAGGCGTCATCATAATAGCAGTAGGCAAAGGCAACAGAAAGCAGGCAGGCAGTAGACACGAGGCAGTAGGCAGTAGGCAGTAGGCAGCAGGCTAAAACTCAGGCAGTAGGCAGTAGGCAGTACAAGTAACGTGCAGGGCAGTACTTGCTGCCCCCGAGCTCCTAAGGTGGGGCTCTAGACTGCGAAAGGCCGTACAGTGTGAAGGCAGTGGGTTCGGCAGCAAGGAGCCTTACAGGCAAGCACACAAGTAGGGCGCGCGCGGCTGCTGGCTGCGTAACCCTAAGGGCCGCTCGTGGCTCTCTGCTGCGCGTGGCTACGTGCTGCGCGCGGCTCTGGCTGCACGTGGCGACGGGCGGCGGGCTCTACGTTGCACGTGGGCGGCGGGCTCTACGTCGCGCGTGGGCGGCAGGCTGTGCTTAGGCTGCGCGTGGGCGGCGTAAGGGGGGGCGCGCGGGCTCGACTTGGGCTACACGGGCGACGCCGACCGGCGCGCGGCTCTACAGCAGGGTCGCGCGCTAAAAAATAAGTGACGCGCGCGCTAGAAACTGAGGCGCGCGAGAGAAAAAAATAAGTGACGCGCGCTGCCGCCGAGGCGCGCTTGAGCAGTAGGCAAGGCAGGCAGTTGGGTGGGCCCGATTCGTAGGTCCTAGAGACCTCCTGCTCTAGTTACCATGTTAAGAACCTAAGGCAATGATGATGAATTAGGTGAAGGCTAGGGTACAAGACTAGGGTGTCGATGAACTTTGTGTACCCCCTAGTGCTAACCCCCATACAGCCTAGCTAACCTAAACAAGTATATATATATATATATAATTTGACAGGACTCTGACGCTACGATCGACTCCTCCAACAGCGACGAGGAGCCCGTCCTGGATACCCCTGAAGTCGATGAGGCGAGCCTTGGGAACGTCAATGCCAAGAATAAGCATGCGTATGCCTCCCCTTGTCCTGTTTTGTTATCTGCAATCGATGTCAACTACGTCACCATGTTGTGGAAAATGACAATAAAGCCAGTGCAAGTGTAACTTCCTAACTTTTAAAACTTCCTGACCACTCTTTTTTAGCATCACCCGGATACGTATGACCTCTCTTACAACACTTGTAGTACGAGACTCCTTTCTTGGATAGCACTTCCTTCCTCGTAGAATTGCAGCCCTCCCCTCGGGCTCTTCTCCACTTGAAGAGGTGCTCCTCCTAAGGTAGACTCCAAGGGTACTCCAAAGTAGCTTGAATGGGCCAAGGTACAAGGTAGCTAGAAGGTTGAGAGAGCTTGTGGCATTGGTAAGAATGCACTATGAGAATATTATGAATTACACACAACCTACAAGGACTTATATAGTGGAAGGGCATACCCAAACCACCATCCTTCTATCTTATTCATGCAATCCTAGGAATCCTTCCCCTATTGGTCGAGGATCCTTGCAATCCAACCAATCAATGAGAGTGCTCCGTTGAGCTCACCCACATCTCCAATGGAATCTCCACCATAGAACCTTCCTTGTTGCCTTCCTCATTCTCCTGCCCTGCTCCTTCCATTCTCCTTCCCCAATAGATCCTCCCATAGCCTCCACTAAGGAAACTTCCAACAAGCCACCTTCCAAGGAACCTTCCACTTATTCTTACTCCCAAGGAAACTTCCTTATGACCAGCCCATCCTCCTTAATGCAATTCCCAGCTACATGCACAAGAATAAAGGGTAAACCTTAGTAAAATACCCTCCACAAGTACCAACCCTCTTATAAATAACCCGAGGGTAAACTCAACCAATAGATCTTACCAAGATCAAGGGGTTTATCCTCAACAGTTTAGTGTTTAAGTTACAAATGTAACTTTCTCGGACGCGGTCTTGTGGCTCCTGACACAAGGGAGGGTACCTTCCCAAGAATCCCCACATATCACACAAAAATCACACAAAGGTACACTCAATACCACACTCTGAAAGAAATCCCCTATATCCCTGGTCATACCATTCCACTCCATGGGGTCTTACCATCCTCTCATTACTTCACCAAATCCGGTCCATCCTCTAAAGGCTCTTTCTCACTCTCTCATCACCTTAGAAAAGATAATGTGACTCCACCACAACCGGTCCACTCACCCACTCAACCTGCCATGCACGCTGAACCTTAGTGCCATCTGGTGCCAAGAAGATCTCTCCATGCTCAAACTCATATCCCATGGGTACCATCACCACATACCTAGCCAGGGCATAGTCTTCCTCAGGGGGTGGAAGGAGAGAAGTGGGTGAATCAGGTGAGAAGGGGGTATAGGTAGGAGAAGAAGGGGATGGGGGTGGGGAATGAGGTAAGATGATGGGGGTAGAGGGAGTGAGGAAGGTGGGGTAGTTGGTTCATGTCGGATGAGGGTATACGAGGGGTAGGAGGGAATGGTTGGTTCATCATGCTCAGAATCTAGGGCAGGAGAGTAAGGTGTAGGAGGTCGCGGAGGGGATGGGGAATATCCATAGTCGGAAGATTCAGAAGATAGGTAGTCGTCGGAGTCGTATAGATGATCTCGATGGGGGCGGTACCCGTCTAAGATGTAGATGTCGCGGTTTAGGGTAGGCATCCATAAGGGGCATGTCTCGTAGCCGTAGTAGGGGTCCATGGGGTTCGGGAAAGAGCGGGTGAAATGGTTAGTGAGATAGGGGTGAGGGAGGATATGAAGAAGATTGGAATTCTCGTTGAATTGGGGTAGGAAGTTATTAGGGATAGGAAGATGTATGTCCCATGGCTGCTCCGCTATCTCGTAGTCCGTGCCCACCCCAATCAAAGGCCAAGGCACTAAGAACGCCTCTCCCTCTTCCTCATGCCGTGGCACCACCTTCTGTCTCTCCACACACCATCTGTAAGCCATCCGCACCTCCGTGATATACTTCAGATCCTCCCATGTGATCTCCCGTGATGCCCACCCAAACCGTATGGCCAACTTAGCTCCACCTTTCCTCACATCCAAAGTCCTCCCTCCAAGCCGTGGGTCGTCCCTGTCTATCGGCTGCATTCGAGGTACTCCTTCACTCCCCTCCAACATCACCTTGAAGAACTCTGCCAAGAAGTACTCTTCACAAAACTCTTCCCAATCGATGCATAGGTCCAAGAATTCCAGCCCCTCCACATCCCCCTGTCGAAATCCCAACTCGGGCAAGACGACGACCCATGTCCTCATGTTGAAACAATCCACCAACCACTGATAGAGGCGTTCGGTTTCAGAGTTCATAGTTGCCCCAAAAGCGAGGATCAGTCAGGTCGCAAGCTCCCCCGTCTCTCGATTAGGAAGGTGGAATGGTAGGAAGAGGAGGAGGAAGAAGGGTTTGAATCTCTTGATCGCACGTTGCCCGCGTCACCGAGCTTGCCTAAGGTCGCCGCCGAATCCGCTTTGAAGGCCAATCTAATCTAGGGTAATCTCTGATCGCTTTGTTCGCCGTTGATCGCCCGTTCGCCTTCGTCGTGGGTAGCCTAAGATTGCTTGAATGAGAGTGGGTAACCTAATGAGCGCTTGATCGTGGGGGTGTACAGGCGGTCCTGTACTTCGCGGGGAAAGTGGGGGTGTATAGGCGTTACCTATACTTCGCGGGGAGAGGGGGGGTTGTGGTTCTAAAGCACGAACTTCACCAGCTTCACGTTCTCACGAGACTCCTTCCATGAAGCTCCCGCCTTATCCTCCAACACTACATCGAACTGCTCCACCTCCTTCACCCTGAACAGCGTCTTAAACTTATTAGTCTGCTTCTCCCATGCCACCCTCTTACTTGGCTTGATGCGGACAAAGTCCCCCTTCACCAACTTCTCCATCTCGAAGGCCGTTGTCCTCCTCAAGTCAAAATCTAGCTTCTGCTTCTCCTGCGGCCTATCATGGTTCCCCACTGCCTGAGCTAACACCAGCTCCATATCCGAGGACCTTCTATAGAGATACCTGGCTACCGCATCCGCTTCCTCCTCTGTGGACAACTCCGACAGCTCCCGCGCCTCAAACTCCGACATGGTGGTGCGCGTGATGTTTGGGTGGCGCCCATACTGTAGGAAGAAGGGGGAAAACTTGGTGGAAGAATGTATTGAGGCCCTATACCCCAGCAGCACCCACCAAATGTTCTTATCCCACTCCAAAGGGTTGGTCTCCCCAAGCCTCAATAGCGCCCCCTTCAAGACCCGTTGGAACCTCTCAATCAGTCCCGAGCTTTGAGGATGTTCGGGACGCGAGAACTCGTGGTGGATCCCAAACTTCTCCAACAGCACCCCAAACTCCCCCTTGAAATAAGACCCGTTGTCGGTGTGGATCACCAATGGGCAGCCATGGTTGGAGATGATCTTCTCTGCTACAAATGCCGCTGCTGTTGCCGCATCTGCACTCCTCACCGGCTTACACTCCGGCCACTTGGTGAAGTGATCCATGGCCGAGATAACATACTTGTTCCCTCCCTTTGCCGCTGTGTGGAGAGGCCCGATGAAGTCTATCACTACCCTCTCCCACGGCTTCGTGACCAGTACCGGCTGCAACTCTCCCTTCGCCGTCCAATATCCCTTTTGGAACACACACGTGGCACACCCTTTCACAATTGCCGTCACATCACTCCCCACTCCATACCAATCATACTGCTTCTTCACCAAGTCCGTGGTCCTTGGCACCCCCAAATGCCCCAACCCATGAAGAAATGCTATGATGTCCCTCCTCTCCTCCTTCCGTGGTACCGGCTTCAACTCCCCTTTGATCTTCTTCAGCAGCCTCCCATCCCTCCACTCAAAGTTCTTTCCCCTTGCTCTCACCCTCCTCTTCTCCACCGTGCTCAATGCCGGATCAACCACTCCCTTCTCCAAGAAGAACAACGTGTTGCTGTCGTCCCATATATCGAGGGTGGTCTCGGACGCGAGATTCTTACTAGGGGTCTCCTCCTCGCCTTCCTCTCCTTCCACCTTTGCCTTCTTCTTAGGCTGCCCTATCTCCTCTAGCAGTTGCTCCTCCTCTATTCCCTCATCCGGCTGCTGCCCCTCTTCAAAGCTCTCCTCCTCTTCTCCTCCATTCTCCTCCGTACTCTCCTCTTCCTCGTCACCCTTCTCCATCTCCCCCTTGGTCACCGACTCACTACTCTCTTCCTCATCATCCTCCTGGTTGTTGGGAAAGAGGGATATGTACATAGGGATGGGGTAGCTGGTGTGGGAGAGGGGATGGGTAGGTGATGGGATGTATGCATGCCAATGAAATGGTCCTCCTCCCATCTCTTGAAGATGCAACCCCTGTTGCATGCGGCTCAAGCAGTCCACGTTCTTATGCGTCTCCCCCGCCTTGTAGGTGATGGTGAGATCGTACTCTTGCAGCAACAAACGCCACCTAGCCAGCTTCCCCGTGAGGTCCTTCGCCGTCATGAGCCATTGGAGTGCTTGGTGGTCCATCTGCAGCAAGAACTTGCTCCCATAGAGGTAAGGCCTAAAGTGTTTGATCGCCCACACCACCGCTAAGCACTCCCCGTGTGTTGAAGACAGATTCCGCTCCACTCCCCTTGTAGTTCGGATCGCATATGCGACCACCCGTTCCGCTCCCTTTTCGTTCTTTTGAGCCAATATCGCCCCTAGTGCCTTGGCCGAGAAATCTGTTTGGAGAATGAATGGTTGGGAAAAATCTGGAAATGCAAGTATGGGAGGGGAAATGAGGGTGAGTTTGAAGGGCGATGAATGCCTGCTCGCACTCGTGTGTCCACTCGAAGGCATGGTCCTTGTGGAGCAGCTACGTGAGAGGGTGTGCCACCTTGGCGTACCCCTTGATGAACCTCCTATAGTAGCTCGTGCACCCCAGGAACTCCCGCACGCCCCTCTGGTCCACCGACGCCGCCATGTTGCTAATCGCCCCCACCTTCCCTCCGTCCGGCTTCACTCCCTCCCGAGTCACCAAATGCCCCAGGTAGATGGTGGAATAGAATCCCAGCTCACACTTGTTCGGCTTCAGCAAGAGGTGGTTCTCCTTGATCCTCTCAAAAGCATCCCGCAGATGCTCAAGGTGCTCCTCCCAACTGTTGGAAAAGACAATGATGTCATCGAGGTATGGGATGGAGTTTTTGTGGATGCGGAATGTGGTTGTCATGAGGCGTTGGTGTCAACGGGAGTTGGGTATTGGCCCCGTCCTCGCTTGGGCGGAGCCGACTTCGTGGTCGGGTGTGAGGGGAGCAACCGACCTGCAGCAGTGAGTGAGCTGGTCGACGAGGAGGTCGATCTGCACGGGGGACAACTACACTGGCGCCGGCTTTAGGGTGGCGCCGACTTCAGGGAGGTCGACTTGGGAGTCGACCTGCGGAGGACGTCAACTTGGTGACGTCAACTTGGGGTGGCCGACGTGGGTGGTCGGCCGACGACTATGCTGGTCGACGAGGAGCAGGTCGACCAGGAGTACTGGTCGACGTGGAGTTGGTCGACCAGAGGGGACGTCGACCTGGAGGAGGTCGACGTGGAGGTGGTCGTCGACTTGGGAGGTCGACGGGCACGTACGGGAGCTGCTGGTCGACATGGTTGCCCGGTCGACTAGGTTACCTGGGAGTGCGACGGTCTCCCAGGCGAAGTTGGCGAGACCGACCTCGGTGGTGGTATCCCGAGGTCGTCGTGGCGGATCAGAGGTGACAGGATTCTGCACGCCAATCATCTTCGCGCACCTGTGAAGTGGGTGCACTGCTGTCCTGCAACGTTGGCACGCCATCGACCTTGCCTTGCTGGAGTGCGGTCGACCAAGTCGTGCTGGAACGCGGTCGACCAAGCTGCGCTGGCAGTTGGCCGACCTGAATGCTTGCTCTGATGTAGTCTTGCTATGCCAACTTTATTGTACCAATTGTTCTGAACTTTTCCTAGTGAAACTCTTGCCAATTTTCCCCGTGAACTAGCAAGTAGTTGGTGCACAAGGAAAACGACTAAGGAACAGAGAACGCAGAGATCACACGAGCACACGTGCCTAGCCCGCAGCCTAGCTCCTGTTGCTGCAGTTATCTCCGCATGGTGCGGTGAGCGTGGAGGACACCGCGACGTAGTTCAGTCTAGCCGACTTAGCACATACCGATCGTGTTCGTAGACCGGCAGCCGTGCAGTCACTAGCGTGCGCGTAGGCGACGCCGAGGTGATGGACACCCTGGAGGGACGGCTGGAGGATGCGAGGAGACGCCATGAGGCCCAGGAGTATGGGGCGATACCCTGGGCAGTCGTCGAAGCCAGACTCCGCTCCGTGTGGGCGGCGGAGCATCCCCCTTCTCGACCTGCCTCTCCTCGACCGGTGAACAACGACGGCGGCGTCGACGTGGGCGTCAACGCCGGTGGAGGTGACGTCGGCAGCAGTGTAGGAGGCACGTTGAGGCAGAGAGGTGTGATACACGCCGGTGAAGTCGGCGGCGTTCAGGCGCGAGGGATGCAGTCGTCGGCGGCTGCAAGCTCCTCGCATGGCGACACTGGTGGGCGTCGAAGTGGATTGTCGCCGATGTCGGCGACCCAGGTGACGGCGGGCGGGATTGCGCCGAGCTACGGCTACTTCAAGTTCACGCCGGATAGGATCTCGGTCACCCCTCCGCTGGTCGGTCGACCCGACATTCTCACCTGGAAGGAAGCCATCGAGCCCCAGCTGGAGATGGCCGGGCTGATCGGCTTCGCCCGAGGGACCGTGGCGACGTCGGGGGAGCACCACCCCGACCTGCGTGCGGAGTTTCGCGCCGTGCAGCTGTTGACCTTCACGGTCATCTTGCGGTGCTGCTCGCCGGGCGTGCAGATCGCCTTGAAGTGGTGCCGGGAGTACATCGACGCCGGCCACCGGGCGTGGCATTTCATTGAGTCGACGTACCAGGTCACCGACGACCTGTTCATCGCCCAGCTGGAGGGACAGCTGACGCACCTGCGTATGGGTGACGAGGAGAGTGCGACCGACTACTGCAACCGAGCCAGGCGAATTCTCGCCACCATCAGGATGGCTGGCACGCAGTACTCCACGGCGTCGTACATCACCCATGTCATGCAGGGACTATCTAGCAGCTATAACCTCCTGAAGCGGCTGTCTATGGCGCCGAGCACGAGGGCGACGCTCAACGAGGACAACCTGACCTCGTACATCCTGCAGGACGAGGCGATGCAGGAGGCTGAGCGATCGCAGGAGCTCTTGGCGTAGGCCAACTTCGTCGCCCCGGCGAAGCAAGGAGGCCGACCAGGACAGCGCGGACAGTCTGGTGGCGGCGGGAGCGGTGGCTGGAAGTCGACCAAGGAGGTCGAGAAGAAGTCGACCAAGGACGGCGGTCGAGGAGGAGGAGGTCGACGTCGGGAGTGCTGGATCTGCCACAACCCCGATCACCTCTCCTTCGAGTGTCCCGACCGCAGTGACTCCGACGACGACGACAAGGTCGGTCGCGGGAGGTCTGGCAGCCGTCGTCCTCGTCGTGGAGGAAACCAGCCGCGCAAGGAGAAACAGTCGACCAAGACATCGACTTCGGCGAAGGACACCGACTCCCTTGCTGGCGGCAAAGGGCGAGACGACAAAACGGCGTCGTGCTCGCTGGTCGGCGTCGTGGAGCCGACCATCTCTCTGGCGCCGGCGGCCGGAGAGGACTTCCAGGCGGTGGCGGAAGCTGTGCAAGCGAACCCGGCGGTGGTTCTGCTCGACAGTGGTTGCTCCCACCACCTGATGGGGATGAAGGAGGTCTTCGTCGACCTGCAGCCGAGCGGCGCCATCAGGCATGTGCGCGGCTTCAATGGGGCGCTGCAGGATGTTCAGGGCTGCGGCACCATCGCTCTGCAAGGAGAGGCTGGGAAGGAGGTGCTCATCCCCGACGTGTTGTACGTCCCGGGTGTGCGAGCCAACCTGTTGTCGGCCGGCCAGCTGAAGGAGCATGGCGTGAAGCTGCAGGAGGACGGAGACGGCATGCTGCTCGTCTCGGCAGCAGAGGAGGTGCTCGGGCGGGCGACGTACTCTGGGCGAGTCCTCTGCACCGACCTGCGTCCCTGCGCGACGAGGTCGACGCCGCCCACGACGGAAGTGGTGGCTCTGCGGGCGGTCGTCTCGAAGACGAAGTCGACGCCGGACCGGATGCATGCGCGGCTTGCGCATGTCGGCATGGACACCATTCGGAGCTCGGCGAGGAACGAGGTCGCCATTGGGCTGGACCTCAAGTCGGCGACGGACGCCGACTCCCCCTGTGTCTCGTGCGTCGGCGGGAAACTGGCGCGGCACACCTTCCCCGACCAAGGCTCCGACGCCGACGACGTGCTGGCCGTCGTGCACATCGACCTGTGCGGGCCGTTTCGCGTGGCTGCCAAGGATGGCAGCCTGTACTTCTTGCTGCTGAAGGACCGCAAGACCCGTTACGTGTGGGTGAAGCCGGTCGCCAAGAAGTCAGATGCGTTGCAGGCGTTCGTGCAGTGGCTGGCGGTGGCTGAGCGGCAGACGAAGAAGTCGGTGTTGATGCTGCGCTCTGACCGGGGAGGCGAGTTCCTCGGGAAGCAGTTCACCGACTTCGTGAACGGCAAGGGGATCGTCCATGACCTGACTTGCCCATACACCCCGCAGCAGAACGGCATGGCGGAGCGGGAGATGAGGACGGTGGTGGAGTCGGTGCGGACAATGCTGCTGCACATGGGTGTGCAGCACCACTGGTGGCACCTCGCTCTGCGGCAGGCCGTCTGGGTCCGCAACTGCCTTGAGAGGTCGACGTTGCCGCCGGGGACGACGCCGTACCAGCTGCTGACTGGGAAGAAGCCCGACTTGTCGCTGGCCCGGGTGTGGGGCTGCATGGCGCAGTTCCTTGTCCCTGAGCAGCAGCGTGGTGGGAAGCTGCACCCGAAGGCCAGGTGGGGCCTGCACCTTGGCGTGTCGGCGGCGGGCAAGGGCTGGGAGCTCCTCGACGTCAACACCGACCGAGTGGTTACCACGTCGGACGTGGTGTTCTACGAGGAGATGTTGTTGGCTGAGTGGAAAACGGAGCAAGGGCCGGTGTCCCGCCGTTCGCCGTCCACCCCGCCCTCTGACACCTCGTCGGCGACGCTGCCGCTCCTTGTCGAGGTTGGCGAGCTTGTTAGTGAGGACGTCGAGGATGTCCGCCCCCCTACCCCTCCCCCTCCCCTTGTGGCCGACTTACGTGTGCGGACCTCGGTGTCGTCCTCCGGCGATGAGGGGAGTAGCGGGACGTCGCCTTCGGCGCCGGCCAAGTGCATCGCCGGTGGCCGATGTGACGAGCGGCAGGTCGACATGGGCCTACAGTCGCAGTCGACAGGGGAGGAGCAGGTCGAAGAGCAGCAGCCGACAAGGGAGCGGGCTGCCGTGAAGCCGACCACGGAGCAGTCGGCGACCGGGCCGTCGGCAGGGGAGCCGACCACAGGGGAGAAGTCGGCTGGGAAGCCGACCACAGTGGAGCAGTCGGCTGGGACGCCGGCTGAGGAGCAGCAAGACGCCGAGGGTAGTGACGACAGTGACGATGGAGGGGACACCGCGGAGGTCCAGCAGGGACCACGGCGTTCAGGCCGACTTCGGAGGCCGCCTGACTTCTTCGTCCCCGCTGCCTTCACCACGGTGTATGACGTGGACGATGACGACGACCTGCGGTACGACGACGCCGAGGAGGATGAGGAGTTTCCGGAGCTCGACCCCGACATGCTAGCCGACCCCGAGCACCGTTGGGACATCTCGACGATGACGGTGAAGGAGGCGTTGGCGAGCTGGAAGGGCCCGGCGGTGAAGGCCGCCATGGAGGAGGAGATTCGCAGCCTCATCAACATGGGCACTTGGGAGCTGGTCGAACGCCCGCCGGGGATGAACGTCATGAAGAACCGGTGGGTGTTGACGACGAAGTACCACATCGACGACACCGTCGAGCGAGAGAAGGCGAGGCTGGTCGTGAAGGGCTTCACACAGGTGTACGGCGCCGACTACGACGAGACGTTCGCGCCGGTGAGCAGCTACGTCACGCTGAGGATCTTCCTCAGCGTCGTCGCTGTCCTCAACCTCAACCTGATGTAGCTCGACATGAAGAACGCCTTCCTGCAGAGCAAGCTCGATCGGGTGCTGTACATGTCCCAGCCGGACTACTTCAACGATGGAACCGGCCGGGTGTGTAAGCTGCTGAAGAGCCTGTATGGGCTGAAGCAGTCGCCGCTGTTGTGGTACTTGGCGCTCAACGATGTGCTGGTCGGCGCCGGGTGGAAGCAGAGCCAAGTCGAGGAAGCTCTTTACTTCAAAGTCGGCGAGGGTGGAGTGGCCTGCTGGGTGCTGGTCTACGTCGACGACCTGCTCGCCGCCAGCAGCAGCGCCGCGTTGCTGAGGGAGCTGAAGGAGCTGCTGGAAGCCGCCTTCGAGCTGCGCGAGATCTCGCCGGTGCAGAAGTACCTCGGGCTGGAGATTGTGCGCGACAGATCGGCGGGGAAGCTGTGGCTGCACCAGCAGGGCTACGCCGACAAGCTGCGTAGGCGCTTCCTCGACGAGGAGCAGACCGGGCGCACCCCGAAGACACCGGTCTCGGTCGGTGCCTACGCCGAGCTCACCTTCGATGACGAGGAGGCGCAGGAACGGCAGGAGGAGGAGTACCGGCAGAAGGTCGGCTCGCTGCAGTTCGCGGCGACGACGACGAGGCCGGACGTCGCCTTCGCCTGCAGCAAGCTGGGGAGTGGCCTCACGGTGAGGAGCGACCAGCACTGGCGCGAGGTAGACCGCTGCCTCGCCTACCTCGCCAACACGCGTGACACCGCCCTGGAGTTCGGCGGTGGACCTGAGTCGCTGGAGCTGGTCGGCTACGTGGATGCCGACGACGCCGGTGACAAGCAGAACAGGACGAGCACGAGCGGCTATGTGTTCGTCTACGGAGGGGCTGCAGTCTCCTGGTCGAGCCAGCGCATCAAGTGCGCGACGCTGTCATCGACCGAGTCGGAGTACGTGGCGGCCACTGAAGCTGGCAAGGAGGGACGCCGCCTTCGCTTCCTCCTCGCCGAGTTTCGTCAACTGGACGCTGGGAAGCCGACTGTCCTGCTTGTGGACAACAAGTCGGCCATCACGGTCGCCGAGGGCATGGGGTTGACGGACAACCTCAAGCACATGGAACGGCGACAGGCCTGGCTGCAGCACATGGTGAGGCGCGGGAAGTTCTCGCTGCAGTACATCCCGACCGCTGAGCAGCCGGCCGACTTCCTGACGAAGGCGCTGCACTATCCGGCCTTCAACCGGTGCTCCGTTGCAATCGGCCAAGTGCGCTTGGCCGACGTGGGCGACGGCGACAACGACGTGCAGCAGTAGGTGCCATGCCCTTTTGCATGGCTGGTGCGGTGGACGATGTGCTATGTGTTGGGTGCACGTCGACGAGCTAGTCTCCGAGCTGTACTGCCGTGTGGGCTGGGTGCCCAAGCGTGAACGCGGCGGGGGAGTGTCAACGGGAGTTGGGTATTGGCCCCGTCCTCGCTTGGGCGGAGCCGACTTCGTGGTCGGGTGTGAGGGGAGCAACCGACCTGCAGCAGTGAGTGAGCTGGTCGACGAGGAGGTCGATCTGCACGGGGGACCACTGCACTGGTGCCGGCTTTAGGGTGGCGCCGACTTCAGGGAGGTCGACTTGGGAGTCGACCTGCGGAAGACGTCAACTTGGTGATGTCAACTTGGGGTGGCCGACGTGGGTGGTCGGCCGACGACTATGCTGGTCGATGAGGAGCAGGTCGACCAGGAGTACTGGTCGACGTGGAGTTGGTCGACCAGAGGGGACGTCGACCTGGAGGAGGTCGACGTGGAGGTGGTCGTCGACTTGGGAGGTCGACGGGCACGTACGGGAGCTGCTGGTCGACATGGTTGCCCGGTCGACTAGGTTACCTGGGAGTGCGACGGTCTTCCAGGCGAAGTTGGCGAGACCGACCTCGGTGGTGGTATCCCGAGGTCGTCGTGGCGGATCAGAGGTGACAGGACTCTGCACGCCAATCATCTGCGCGCACCTGTGAAGCGGGTGCACTGCTGTCCTGCAACGTTGGCACGCCATCGACCTTGCCTTGCTGGAGTGCGGTCGACCAAGTCGTGCTGGAACGCGGTCGACCAAGCTGCGCTGGCAGTTGGCCGACCTGAATGCTTGCTCTGATGTAGTCTTGCTATGCCAACTTTATTGTACCAATTGTTCTGAACTTTTCCTAGTGAAACTCTTGCCAATTTTCCCCGTGAACTAGCAAGTAGTGTGCGCACAAGGAAAACGACTAAGGAACAGAGAACGCAGAGATCACACGAGCACACGTGCCTAGCCCGCAGCCTAGCTCCCGTTGCTGCAATTATCTCCGCAGTTGGAAGGTGGCGGGTGCGTTCCTAAGCCCAAATGCAACGTACTCGTACTGACCCGAGGACCTGACAAAGGCCGTCCTCCTCCGCTACAAGGATGGTGTGGTAGGCGGATTTCACATCTAGCACTGAGAAGTATAGCGAGCCCGTCATCCTATCGAGAATGTCGTCTATCCGCCACATGGGGAATTGGTCGGCTGCTTCGGTCACGGCATTAAGAGGGCGGTAATCGATGACTACCCTATCCCCAAAGTCCTTCTTGGGGATCACGATGCATGGTGAGGACCATGGGCTATTCGACGGTCGAATGACTTCTTGCTCTAACAAGGTTTGGACCACCTCCTCGATTCTAGCGCGCTCGGAAGGTGAGACTCGGTACAGCTTGTGGGCTATCGGCTTGGCACTCCCGGTGGCAATGTGGAGGCGAATGGTGGGATGGGTTCCTAGCGTCTCCTTCTCTGTGGAAAAGACCTCCTTATACCCCACCAAAAGCGTCTGCACCTCTTTCTGCTGCTGCTTATCCAGCTTGTGGTTTAGTGAAACGGGTAAGTCTTCAAACGCGGGGCAAGCTACCCTAGGCACCTCCTTTTTGAGGGTGTAGTAACTACCTAGGATGATCCTCCCCTCGTCCCCACTCTCGACTGCCACGTAATTCCATTTCTCTGCTGCCGAGTAGTTGTACATCTCGAAGAAATGGTCCGTGCTTATCGGCTTCCTCCTCTTATCATAAACCAGCTCCCCTTCTTCCCACTCGTAATCCAAATACTCCTCTCCGTCCACCATGGAATCTCCCTCCCACTTGGTCTCGTTCACCTCTCCCACATACTTCTCCACCATCTCATCATACTCCTTGTCCCAATCGATCCCCAAGCCTGCACTCTCCCAAGCCCCTACCTCCTCCGCCGTTGGGCTCCCAAAGTCATATCCCCAAGCCTCCTCTTCTCCATCCACCACCTTAAGCTCCTTCTCCTCCTCTTCTTCCTCCTCACTCGATTCCTCCTCCTTATCCCCTTCCTCATCTTGCTCCCTTAGCCATAGGTAGTACTCATCCTCTTCCTCCGCGTTCAACTCCATTCCCCCTTCCTCCTCTGCCATGGCTACCCTCCACTCCTCCGTCCACTTGAGGAAGTCCTGCTCCTCCATCCATTCCTTGATGCGCTCCTCATCCTCGTTGATGTTCCTGTGGGTTGTATGGGAGGGGAGGAGCACATAGGAGGGGCGGCCACCACCACCCAATGGTCCAGTGGTGATGGGGACCGAGTCGGTCTCCGTGGTGTTAACTTGGAAAACTATCTTCCCCTTACTAGTCAAGATATCCGCGTTGGCCGAGTAGATCCAATCGTATGTGTTCGCTCCCGTCACTGCAATGTCCACCGGCAGAGTCAGCTTCCCTACTCTAACCAGCATGTCCGGCAAAACTCCCCACGGCTTCGAAGTCTCCCCGCTAGAGGTGGTGAACTCTATGGTGGTATCCTGGATGTACGGTAGTAGCCCGAGCTTTCTAGCTATCACGTGGGAGTGGGCGGTTTGAGAGGCTCCCGAATCAACTATCGCGGTCACCCGATGCTTCCCGAGATACACGTCACACTGTGGGATCTGAAAAATCAGGTTACTAGATCTAGGTGCCTCCTTCTCCTTCCCCTTAGCCTCCACCGGTGCGGCTGCCACTACATCTCCTTCCCCTTCTCCTTCCCCTTGCATAGCAGCTGCCCCCTTCTCGTTCTCCTCATCCCCCTTCTTTAAAGCCTCACAAACCTTGACCCCCTTGCTTCTTCTTCTCCTCCTCCATCCGCTAGTTTCTTCCTTAACTCCTCCCTTGCCTCATCGATCCCCCACCCTTCTGGATCCCTAATGGCTCTCCGCTTCCTCTCCCCCACCAACATCTCCACTCCACCCTCTTCTCTGTTCAAGAATTCCACTATGGTCATGGTCGGCTTCGACTTCTCCATAATCTGCTGCATCACGTTCAGGGCCGCCCTCCCCTTGTTAGGGCATTCCCTCGTCATGTGCCCCTCCTTCCCACACTGATAGCACTTAAATCTCCTCCTCCAGCTCCTCCTCCCGGTCTAGGTAGGATACCCGCTCCCCTACCCTGCTGGATTTGAGTCAGCTGCATGGTCAACCTCTTCAACTGCTTCGTGATCTTATCCACATCCGACTCCTTCTTCACCTCTACCTTCTTCTCCTCCTTCTCTATCTCCTTTGGCTGCGCATAGGTCACAAAGTACTTAGCGGCTTCCTCCGCTGCCTCCAATGATACCGGCCTTCCCCCCAACACCTTCTCCCTCAACCCCGGATCCTCCAATCCCTCAATGAAAGCTCTTACTGTCAAACATTATACATGTTACTGCTGTGTAGGCTACAGTGGGTTAGCCTTTAGGGGGTACATTACTCTAAGGTTTGCTACTTGTACTCTCAACATTCCTAGTTCAATCATTCTTGTTCAGTTCTACATTCTAACATGGTATCCGACGCCTAGGTCAGGACCTAGGACCGACGTTGGTTAGGGCCCGCCGTTCCGCCGCGCCCTTGCGCGACCGTGTCTGATAGTACCTCGCGCCGTCGTGCGCCCCTACCCGCGCCGTCGAGTGCCCCTACTAGCGTCGTCGAGCGCCCCTTCTAGCGCCGTCGAGCGCCCTTCCTAGCGCTGTCGAGTGCCCCTTCTAGCGCCGTCGTGCACCCCTACCCACGCCCTCGAGCGCCTGCCTAATCGCGCCCTCGAGCGCCTGCCTACTCGCGCCCTCGAGAGCCACCTTGCCGCCCTGCCCTACAGGCCACGTGCGGGCCTGCTCTGCACCCGCGCAGGCGCCCCTGGTTTAGGGTTTCGCGGCCCCTGGACCCCGCGACGCGTCGCCCTGCTCGTCGCGGCACCTCTGCGGGACCCCGGCGTCGCCCCTGTCTCGTCGCGACGCCCCTACGGGTCCTGCGCGCGTCGCCCCTGCATCGTCGCGACGCCCCCCTTGCGGGACCCGCGCGTCGCTCCTGCCTAGTTGCGACGACCCTGCGGGAACCGCGCGTCGCCCACGCCTCGTCGCGACGCTTCTGCGAGACCCACGCGCGTCGCCCCTGCCTCGTCGCGACGCCCCTTGCGCGACGCGCGCGTCGCCACCAGGACTCGCGCGCGTCGCCCCTGCCTCGTCGCGACGCCCCCCCGCGACCCGCGCGTCACCACCGGGACCCGCGCGGGGTCGCCCCTGCTCGTCGCGGCGCCCTGCCCTACCCCGCGACCGCCCTTGGGACGGCCGCCCCTGGCCCCTGGAGCAGCCGCCACTGCAGCAGCCGCCCCTGGACCTTGGAGCAGCCGCCCCTAGCCCCTGGAGCAGCCGCCACTGCAGCAGCCGCCCCTGGACCCTGGAGCAGCTGCCCCTGGCCCCTGGAGTAGCCGCCCCTGGACCCTGGAGCAGCCGCCCCTGCAGCAGCCACCCCTGGCCCCTGGAGCAGCCGCCACTGCAGCAGCCGCCCCTGGACCCTGGAGCAGCCGCCCCTGCAGCAGCCGCCCCTGGCCACCAAGAGCAGCCGCCACTACAGGAGCCGCCCTTGGCCCCTGGAGCCCCTGCCGTCGCGGCCCGGCCCCGCCCTGCAGCAGCTGCCGCGGAGCTCCCTGCCGCAGCCCGACCCCGCCCTCCAGCTGTAGCGGCCCCGCTGTCGCCACCGTCTTGCGCGTGCCCTTCCTACAAGTGGTGAGCACTGCCCTGCCCGCACTGCTACCGCTGCTACTGCTGCTACTGCTTTTCCTGTTCCTGCTGCTACTGCTGTTACTGCCGCTACTGCTACTCCTGGCGTGGCCAGATGCAGCTCCAGGGCCGTCCGCGTGTGTCCCTCATGCCCCAGCAACTTCATGAGTGGTACGTCAGTTGGGGTTGTCGGGGTGGCCGTAGTGGGAGTCGTCCTGGAGTCGGTAGTTCGGGAGCTTCTTGTAGTGGCCCGGTGCAGCAGCAGCGTCGTCCGTGCGAGACTCTTTAGCCCCAGCAGCTTCGTGAGTGGTACGCTCAGAGCAGAGGGTCGCTGAGTACTGGTCGCTGCCCGTACGTTATTAGCACGGGTGCCTGGACTGGTCAGCCTTGCGGGACGCGTGGTCACACAGAGTCCCACTGCTTTGCCCGTCTGAGCGACGCTTGGCGTACAGAGTTTGGCGACGACGCTGAGCACCCCGACTGGGTGGAGCTACTTAGGCAAAGGGTAGATATCTTTGCTTCTCACTATGATGCCATCCTCACTGCCATGTATGCATTGTCTACTAGTAATGAGGGTGCCTGTCACCTGTGTGTGTCGCCTGACCCCGGTATCCAGTCTGCTGCTCTAGGTACTGGTGAGGCTGCCGCTCTAGGTGCTAGTGTGTCTGCTGCCCCAGGTGCTGGTGAGGCTGCTGCGCTAGGTGTTCGTGAGTCTGTGCCCTCTGGTACGGAGTCTACTGAGGCACTACACACCTTCAGACTGGACTCAGGTGCTTCTCGCTGTTTCTTTCGTGACCGCACGGCCCTTGAGCAGCTTGCTCGGCCAGTTGCAGTCCTCCTCGCTGACCCCTTTGGGGGTCCGGTCATTGCTGTCAGAATATCATAGCTCATCCATTTTGTGTAGGCTATAGTGGGGTAGCCCACAAGGGGTACAACCCAATTAGGGTTAGTACTTGTACCCAACTCTTTCATAGTTGATTTATTCCTCGTTTCTTCTCATGGTATCGAGCAGGTTCCCTAGCGGGAACGATTCCTAGGGCCCACCACTACGATTTTTTTTTTTCCTGCCCGTAGCACGCTCTGCTCAGGCCCGAGTCGCGCTCCGTGTGCTCTCCCTACCGTCGCCCTTAGCTGCCCTCTCACGGCCCGTCGCGGCTCCCTTACGGCCCGCCACGCCGCCCTTACGGCCCGTCGCGCCGCCCTTCTGCGGCCCCGTCGCGCCGCCTCCTTCGCGGCCCCGTCGTACCGCTCTCAGCGGCCCGTCGCCGCCCTCCACCTACGGCCTCGTCGCCACCCCTTCAACGGCGTCGCCGCCTCCCCTTACGGCCCGTTGCCGCCTCTCACAGCGGCCTCGTCGCCGCCTCTTACAGCGGCCCCACCGGCCCCGCGCACCGCCCTAGCGGCCTCTTGCGCCGCCCGTCGGCCCCGCGTGCCGCCCTTGCGGCCCTTTGAGCCGCCCGTCCGCCCACCGTGAGCAGCCCTAGCGGCATCGACGCCGCCCTTCCTGGCGCCGACGCCACCTCGGCTGGCCCCGGCGCCTGCTCCTGCGGCCCCGGAGCCGCCCTTCCCGGCCCCGACACCGCCCTCCCGGCCACGCCGCCGCTCCACCTGGCCTCGCCGCCACTCCACCTGGCCCCTCGAGCCGCCTTCTAAGGCCTCCTCACGGCCCCACCGCCGTCCCTGAGTCAGGAGCCGCCGCCGCCGAGCCGCCCAGCAGCAGAGCCGCCGAGCCGCCCAGCAGCCGAGCAGCCGAGCCGCCGTACCGCCGAGCCGCCAAGCAGCCGAGCCGCCGAGCCGCCCTGCAGCCAAGCCGCCCTGCAGCCGAGCCGCCCGCACCGCCGAGTCGCCCGAGCCGCCCTGTCCGGTAAGAGCAGCGCCTCTACCCCTGCACTGCCCTTACCCTATTGTTCGTGCTACCCCTAGTGACCTCGCTTTTGACGCTGAGGGTAGGGCCATTGACTTTGACGTCTGGATAGATGACCTGCAGCTTTTTCTTACAGTGCGATAGGACAGACAGCCTCTCCCTCTTTGACCTCACTTCTGGTGCCTCTCCTGCCCCCGCTGTTGATGCCAACGCCATTGTTCGCTCACAGTGGGCCACGCGCGATGCTGCTGCACGTCTTGCTATGCGTCGCCACCTGCCTACCTCTGAGCGTGTGCACTTTAGCCAGTACAAGAGTGCTCAGACCTTGTACGACGCTGTAGTTGCACGCTTCTCCTCCCCTGCCACTGCTGCACTGAGCCGCCTCATGCTACCGTACCTCTTCCCTGACCTTGCTGCCTTTCCCACAGTCGCTGACCTCATTACGCACCTCCGCACTAGTGACACTCGCTACCGCGCTGCGCTTCCTGCTGAGTTCTGCGCCAAGAACCCCCCCCCCATGTACATCACCCTCTACTACATAGTCACCCGGCTCCCTGACTCCCTTCGCGTAGTAATGGACCACTTTCTCTCAGTTTGCCCCACCACTCTTACCATTGACCTCCTCGAGAAGGCCCTCCTAGCAGCAAAGAAGAGCATAGTCGCTGTAGGAGCCTCTCGTGGTGACCCTCGCACCCCCATCTTTGAGGGGTGTTCCCGCTCACCTCTTTTGCCCTCTGTTGCCTCTTCTGCTGCGGCCAACCTTGTTGGTCTGGAGTTGGTCGGTGCAGCGTCTACCCCTAGCGGGAAGCGTCGCCCTGGCAAGGGCAAGGGGGGCAGGGGCGCTGGAGGAGCTAGCGAGGGCGGTGTAGGCGGCGGTGGAGGCAGTGGAGGGGGTGGGGATGGTGGTGGGAGTGGTGGCGGGGGTGGAGGTGTCGGTGGCGGCAGTGGAGGAGGAGGCGGCGGCGGCGGTGGCGGTGGGAGCGGAGGTGGTGGAGGTGGCGGCGGTGGAGGAGGCGGTGGCGGAGGAGGATGAGGAGGAGGTCGTGGCTCTTCGCGGAGGAGTGGCTCCGGTGGTGGTCCGCGCCAGCAGCAGCAGCGCAGTCGTGAGACCCTGTCCCCTCAGCAGCTCCGTAAGTGGTACGCTGCACGCCAGTGGGGTGCGGGTACTGGTCCGTGCACATACGTCCTGCGCACCGGCGACCGTGCGGGTGAGCAGTGTGGGGGTGCGCACCCCACCCAGCGCTGCTTTGGCCGCCTGACGGACGCTTGGCGTCACCAGTTCCCTGAGGCCACTGAGATCCCTCGCTGGGGCGAGCTGTCTAGGGCGGGTGTAGCTATCTTTGACCTTGACTTTGATGCTATTCTTGCTGCTATGTATGCTGTGACTATT